ATTTTTATTTTTGCAGATCTTTATTGGTAGTTTTATATTGAAATTAATTCGTAATCGTGAATCAAACATTCATGAATATACTGTCGAAAGTTTATTAGAAAATGATGATGAAGATGAAGATGAACCATTAATTGAATAAAATAAATACGAACCAAAACCAAAAAAAAAAAGAAACTGTATCTATTTTTTTCTTGTCTCATTTATTTATCTCGATTCAATCGATTGTACTGTCACTGATCAATGTATATATATATATTTGTATGTGTATATTTATCTCATTTTATTTTATTTTATTTTTTCGAACATTAAAATACTAACCAAGAAAATATGATCTTTTCAATTTTAGGATTATTAGATTAATCAAAAGATTTTTTCAGTTTTATGATTAACATGCGGTCTTATTGTATTATATAAATTTTTTTCTAGATTAGTTACTATTCTAGAAAATATAAAGAATGGACTTTTTCGAAATGAGTCTTTCGAGTTTGAATAAGTAAAGAAATTGAATTTTTATCAGTTCTAATGAATAAAGTCAAATCGTAATTCATTAATCACTTTTGAGTCTAGACTATATGTATTATAATACCATAGTATCCATAAGAATAATTGGCTTTCAAAATGAGAATAGTTAATTGTAAAAGTTTAAGGTTTTTTTTTGGGTTTGCTCGTGTCTTAAAATAAGAACATCACAATCTGTCAGTTTGTATGAGCAATGTAAAAAGCACACTTATACTATAAGATTTGCAAATCAGTATTTCTGAGAATTAATTTTTGATATTTAAAGAATACTATCAAAATGAAGTATCTTCACAGGAATAATCTAAGACCTCCAACTTTTTTTTGCGCATTCATAGTTGATTAAGATCTACATGATACACATAGTTTCAACTCAAGAGTTATTAAACCATTGAAGGATTGCTCTCGAAAGTCAGGATCGTTCGTTTGTATATAGGATTTTGCATTGATTCAATGATTGTTCGATTAGAATGATAGATTCACAAGCTATCTTCCGACAATATTTTCACTTAAAAAAAACCTATACTTTATGTTTATTTTTTAAAGTTCAAAATTATTGAGAAATAGTTTATATAAACACCTGCATGAAATGACCTGACATTCTCATAATAAGTTAGTTTTTATGACATAATATATTTTTAGAAACTCTAGTGAAGATTCATGGTCTATAGTGATCACATTTTTTTTTGATTAGATAAAAAGAAACGAGTCTTACGAAAGTTACTTAGTGATCTGTTGTTTTATTTATATACATCAGATAAAATTATTATTCATGGATTTATGTATATGTGTTTGTTGTTTTGAAATTTTTTTTTTCAGATGTCGAATGATTTTACACCTTTAAAATTAGATGAAAGTCAATTATTTGAATTAGTTCGTCTATCAAATATAACAATTGACGAACGTATGTTTAAAATAATTCTTGAATTACTCAAATTAAATATCAAACCAGAAGCCATCATTGAAGTATTAAAAGTCTTAGCAAAACAACGATTAGCATCAACATCATCTTAACAAATCTTTATGTTTCTTTTTTGTTTGTTCATTTTCTAATCTTCTTTTTTTTTTCTTATGTTAATATTCACAACAACAGCAAAAGAAAAAGAAAAAGAATAGTCAGAAAAAAAAATATAACTTTAGATTACTTATTATGACAGTTTTTCATTTGCACAATCTTCGTTCATTACCATCATCATTAACTTTATTGACAAGCCATAACACGAATTCAATCAATAAACTTTGTTTGAAAATAGAACAAATATTACTCTAGATTTAAATATGTGTGATACATTTTTTGTAACACCTGTTAGTGAACTGGAAAAACTCGATGATTGGAAAAAACCATTAGCATTTCAAGCAGCTCATCATCATGAAAATTTAAATGTTCCTGATTCAGTTGAAGTTGAATGGAGATTACGAGATCGAGTATGAAGAAAAAAAAGTTTAATTTGATGTATAATATTCCTTGTTTTGTTTTTTCTTTCGAATAGATGAAAACAGTTAGTGTTGCATTGGTCATGTGTCTTCACATAGGTGTTGATCCACCAGATGTATTAAAAGCAAATCCATGTTCAAAACTTGAATGTTGGATTGGTAATTAATTTTCTTAGGAAATTTTATAGAATATTATTCAATTAAATTTTTTAGATCCATTTTCAATGACACCTCGACGAGCTCTAGAAACTATAGCTTCTGAATTACAACGTCAATATGAAAGATGGCAATCAAAAGCTCGATATAAATCAAGTCTCGATCCAACACAAGAAGATATTAAAAAATTATGTATGACTTTACGACGAAATGCTAGAGTATGTATATTAATTGAATATATTGAACTGCTATCTTCTTGAATGTCGACTCTGACGCTTCTAATCAATGAACGCGTGATGAACTTACAGCATTACTATTATACATTTGAAAATATCTTGTATTCGACTATTTTTTCAATAATCACTGATAGAAACATTATAGAGATCTGAAGTTTTCACAGTTCAAGAGACAAGACCTGGACTATTGAAGAATTAATCTGATACTGTTATCTCAATATTTCTGCTATTTCGTAATTAACATCCACGTAACAAAGGAGACGATATTTCGGAGATATTCAGATAATAATGTTAGATAAGTTCAAATCTAAAAACAAATATCATCATTCGACTCACGAGGGAACATTCCCAGGTGTTGGAGCGATTTTTAGTCAGGACTTTGCGCATCTTGTAGGCCTTGATGAATTATGTCTATCGTAAAAAAAGTTCATGCCCCTAGCTTGTTCCTAGTGAGATATCGAGGTTTTAGTGAATTTTTCC